GATGTCAAGGATGTGGTGTGCATGTAACTTGTACAATGGCCAGTGGAAATGCAAAATGGCACAGCTACTTTGGAGACCAGTTTGGCAGTTTCCCATAAAGTTAAGTATAAACATGCTCTATGACCTAGCAATTTCATGCCTAGATATTTACTCAAGAGAGATGAAAACATTTATCCACACAAAGACTTGAACATGAGTGTTCCTAGCAGCCTTGTTCATAATAACCGGCACCCAGCAGCTGTCTAAATAGTCATCTAAGCATGAATTCGAATGCATAAAGTATTGAGGTATAGCAGTACTTTAGACTACTCCTTCGCAATATCAAGGAATGAAACATTAACGTATGTAACAACATGCATACATGTCAAAATCATTATGCTAAATAAAAGGACATAAACACAAAGACTGCGTAGTGTGTAATTCTATTTTTCAGGAATTCCTGGAATGGCAAACCTATCTAGTACAAAACAGAGCAGTGCTTGCCTGGGGCCGTGGGTGCTGTAGAGGATGTGCGGCAAAGGGGCAGACAGGTCTTTCAGGTCTTTATTATGATAGATTCATTTCTAGACTGCTTATGTTTTGTTTTTGTCAATGGAAAAATATAGAAACTCATTGAAAGATGTTAAAAATACCAAGATAAATGGAAAAGTAGACCAAGTCCACAAAAGGAAGTTTCCATTGTTGTAGAAATGACTGACATCCATTGTGATATACACTTGAATAGTGTACATCAGTGAAAAGTAAGAGTTCAGCACAATATGGATTATATTAATCTTAGAAACATAATGCCAATTACCAAGGAATGCTTACAGTAAATACCACTTTATTAAGCTCAAACGAAAGCAAAATGAAACAACATATTATCTAGGGGTACATAAATATGTGATAAAATTGTTAAATAAAAGTCATGGAATGATAAAATTCAGGAGTGGGAGAAAGAAGAATGGGGCGAGAAAAGCATGTAATGCTTTATTAAAAGGATTTTTTCTGTAAAATTTGGATTCAGTAGAAAGGCTGCACTCGAAGATCCAGAGGCCACACGTGCCCTAAGGCCACAGGTTCCAACCGCTCTGTAGTTTCATTGGTTTCACTTTAAACATGAACATATATTTTCTGTACGTCAAATATAGTACTACATAATCTTAAGAAATGCTTGTGTTTCGGCGTGATTAGTAATGTTGGGGGCGGGGTGGAGGCTGGGAACTCCCAGGGATCAGTGGTGATACATCTTCGTCCGTGGAAGGCAGATTTGGATTTTAGAAACTCACTCAGAGCAACAGCTAGTGAATAAACGGCGGTGAGGTCATAATCAAATTAAGTTATAGCCTTTTTTGCAACTCTCTTAGTAACTGACAAACTTAAGTGCTTTCCAGAAAGGAAACTCTAAAATTTGTTGTTGTATAAGGACAACTTTGCTAAATGATTGAATAGGCTCCCATGGTGACTGCTTTTACTGGAAGACAGCTCATTAGATAAATGTACCTTGGCGTGTTTGCTTAAAAAAAAAAAATGACTCACTTGATTTGCACATGAAAGTATTAACAGGAAAATAAATGAAAGCAATTTCACCTGAACATCTATGAGTAACTTTAGCACTGAACTTTTTAAATATAATTTACACAATGCATGAAATGGGTTGATCTGGAACCATGTAGACAATGAAAGTGTCACTATATTGATAGACTTCAGTTTTCTTCCTAAAATCTAGACATACTTAAATTATATTAAATTGCTTTTAAATTCATCCGGTCTGCATAGTGTTTTTCGCTATTACAGTGCGAAATGCCCTTCCTGTCCAACTGGCTCAAAGTTACCATCTTCACTTGCAAAGAGAATGTTTTCCTTCTCCCCCGTGCCATCCCCTCCACCAACAACCCTGCCTTTCAGAACGTTTACCCTTTCATTCACAAGACATGTACATGTGTATATGTTCACATGCATACTATGTAGTGTAAATGTTCTTGTTCATTTTCTTAGGGGATAGTTGAAATCTTGGCTGTTTAGATACAAAAGACCAGAGTCGCTGATGATACAATGTGTAGATTCAAAGATATTCATGGCAGCGAAACTGCCAAATCCTCCAAGAGTAGCAACCAGAGTTTGTGGACCAAATGGGAGCATGTTTTGCAGAATAGAGTGTAGACATTATGCATACAGATTTATTCTGAAGTTTCAGATACAGGAAATCAGTCCCTTTACTAACAATTGTCTTTCACCCCTTATGGCAGCTCATTTCTTAATCTGTCCTGTGTCCAATCTGTGTATACTGCCCCAGAAAGTTCTAGAATGGTCCAAAGGTTTTATGTGTGTGTGTGTGTGTGTGTGCCTGTGCATTCTATGTCAGTGTGTAGAGCAGGAGAGAAGGATCAGAGAGCAGCATCGCGTGAGGCTCTATCAAGAAGATCTGGGCATATTGCACCATATGTAAAGAGCCCTTTGATGAGAAGCAGCCTGTTTTTTCCCCAGAACTAGTGAAGTCATTTTACTTAAGTGTTCATCAGAAGCCTAGGTGAATTCCTTGATGTTTCATGTTTCTTTTCTGTTTCCTCTCTTGTAGATACTGAATTCATCTACAGAGAACAGAAAGGAACGGTGATTCTGCGGAATGTTGAAACAAATATTTCGACTGTGTTAATAGAAGGCAAAAAAATTGTAAGTACTCTCTTTTAATGACTGGGATAATTTCGGGTTTTCCTCCTGCAAGTCAATAAAGCAGAAAATGACTTTAGGTTTCAACTTTTAGTATAGCCAAGAAGAAGCAATAAACTTGTAATACTCCAGGCTGAGCAACTAACGATAACGTGAAATTGAAGCCACACTAATTTAATAAGATGAAAGCAGTTTCTTTCTGTGTCCGGGAAATTTCTCTGCAGGTGTTGGAAACAAGTGTTGCGTATCACATATAATTGAAAGATAAAGTCTTAAGGCTTTTACACATTTACAGAACAATTGCAATAACGCATATAGAATACTTCAGGAGAACTTGCTCAATCCAGTTTTAAAAAAACCTTCATCTCCACACGCACAGGAAGCATTAACTTAGGCACTGGCACTGTACTTACCCTAATGATACTGAGTGATGCTTGCGCTTCAAAACCAATGCTGAGTCATATGGACATGTGAATGCCGCTGCTTTATAATCTGGGAAAACTTGTTTTCCCAAAGATTTAAATGACATGAAGATACATCAACTGGAGTTATGTACTAAAACTTAATTTAAGGAGAATTAACTTGTTTGTTTACAATGTGTTCATGCCCTTTATTAGAAGAAATAAATCAATAAAGGTGTTGATCCTTTTCTTATCTGATTCACTCGGGAAATCAAAGGAGGTGACTGAGGTTAAATCCACGTTTAAAAGTAAGAAATGAAATAGCTGCAAATTCCAAGTCAGAACCATCATGACAGGGCTCTCTCGCATGAATCGGAAATGCAAAAATCCCAGAATCCAGGATTAGAGGAGATCATAGAAAAAAAATTAGTCAGTTCTCTGGTTTTACAGATATGGATCCTGAGTGCAGAGTTGGTGCATGAGCTTTCCAGCTTCCAGCAGCTCACGGGCGGCTGTGCCAGCGCTCGGCTGGGCCCCGGGAGCCTCGGTCCCAGGGAGAGGGAAGGATGGCTTTCTCTTTAGGCCACCCAGTCCCCAGACCTGTAGAAATGCTGCTCTCTGCGGTCTTTTCTCTCCTAAGTCACATTTAACTTGCTATTGA